TTTTTGATTTTTGAGGTGCTACTCCAAAGTTGCAAGTATATATAATTTTGCCATAAATTGAAAACCCAATCAAACTGTAAATTCACTCCAAACATATCGCAAAAATGATGGACAATTTTGTGCGATAGCTGATCGGTTTGCCAGAATAGTTTAGTAACCCAAATGTATAAGGAATCGCTTGTAAATTAGCTCGGAACCCTTGAGACTAGATATTATAGACATTATTATTCAATTAAATATGTTATTATTCTTATTACTGTCAAATCACGTATAAAAGTATTCTATGATGCCTTCACAATATCAAAAAACTGTAAAATCTCTTTTTTTAAATTAGTCAGGTCTCCAATTTTACTCTAAAATTGTATATGTCCCTTAGCACAAACTTATGCTTATCTAATTTTGACCTAAAGGAAGTCGAAATAAGCAATTGAAGCAAAGATTCAATTTATGTAGTGCAATTTTATAATGTTAGAATTTTACCCAAAGTCACGTTATTCATAGTCAAGATTTTAGGTAAACTCGTTTTGCAAAATTTCATTGCGATTTCCATTTCCGACCGTTTGTTCCATAGCAGCCGTTCTACACCAAAAATGCAATTATCAGTATTTCGGTTTGTGACAGTTGTCAGAGAATATTGAAATCTCATGAGTTCATATATTTAAAAGCTTACCTTGCCAATTCTCTGTCAATACTACCCTCTTCACTCCCATTGGGACTATATTCATGAGATAGATTTGGCGCAGGTACTGGCGGTGGTCTACAAGTTGGAGGTGGACGACGGCAACCAGATCCACCATTAAAGGACGCACTAGGCTGTATATTAGCTATAGATCGACATTTTGTGTTGTATGGGTAGTAACCTAAAAATAAAGTCTGACTTTTAAAGCACGAAGATTGATTATAGCGACAAGAATTAAATATTGAAGTTTACCCTCATTGGGTATCTCCTCATAGAACTCAGTGGGAGAAGTTGCATATCTTCCTACTGTATGATAAGCAGCTGAATTT